TGGTTTTTTTTTTAATTTTTATTTAACCTGAAGTGTTGGGGGGTTGGGGGTTTTTTTTTTTTTTTTTTTTTTTTTTAAATTTTGCAGCTATTTATTTCATAGCTTAAAAACAAACAATAATAATAAAAATGAACCTGTTACCAAGCACACAACCCGGCATAGCTTAAGAAAAGCTGCTGAAGTCACTGGTAAAACGTGGAGAAGTAACACAACAGCAGGTACAAACTGTGGAGGTCATCCTGATTTCTGCTGGAGCTTTGCAGACAAGAGAGAGGGGGCTAGGGAAACTGTAAATGTTTGTTCATAGGAATGACTATAAAATGTGTAAAATGCACTTTTGTTTCATATACTCCTTTCTAGTTTTAGGTAGTTTGCTGGAAACTGAACTGGTGTTCTGTTGTGAACTGCTTAAGTTAAGAAAAAAAAGAAAAAAAAAACCCCACACAAACGGCGTTAGTGTCTATTGAAACTGTAAAGACATTTCTTTTAAACTTTTTTTTCCTGTACAGAATAAGCATGGCATTTTAAATATTGGTGTTCTTGTTCCCAGCATGTGTGTTTTAAGACAAAGGTTAAAAAAGTGTCTACGTTAAATTATGAACCTAGTCGTCCAAATAATATTTTCTCATTAAAATATGTAAATGCAGATTTAGTTTCTTATTTGTCTTTTTAAAGAGTTTACACGACAAAAGTAAAGGCATTAGTTCATGAAAAAGGAATGATGTTATTCCAATTTTTAGATAATCTAACCAGCCTTTTCACGGGAGGTTACTATAAATGTAGTTATTAACATACCATAACGTTAGATAAAACTGTCATTATTGCCGGTTTATGGAAGAGATAACATACACAGGTGTGTTCCGTGGGTTTTATATCTATACATATATGCATACACACACATATATGCATTTGTGTCCTACACACTTATACCGAATATAAACATGTATTACATTTACGCCTGTGTGTATGTATACTTATCACCTACATACTACCAGTTAAATTTTCTCTAAAAAGTATAAAAATTAGTGAGCTTCTACAATACAGAGCCAACATAAAAATCTTTAAAGAATTAGCTACTTTTTAAGACCGCGAATACTGAATTTTTGTCAGTTATGTTTTTTCTTTACAAGAGGCATCTCAAAATCTTCGTCGAGTGAAAGTGAGTTATTGTAGCCTTTTACCTGTCGTTTAAATCTCCTCAAGCATTGCAGTTACTCCAACCACTGCTATAATTTCTCCGTCTCCATTGATCACACTTTCCAAAAGCGGTAGGTTGCAAACTGTAACACTTAAAATTGTACTCATTTTTCTGTAAGCCAATACACAGTCCCTTTTAAAAAGTAAGGGCAAAGTAGTTACAATGAAAACTGGATTCCGGGCACCTTCCAGCGGGGCTCTCCAATACTTCTAGGGATTTCACAAGGATTCTGCAACTGTTGAAAAGGACAGAAGCGATCTAGTGAAATTAGTAAAGAAGTGTCTCGGAAATGAGGCAGTCTGCGCCAAGAGCGCAGTTAGGAGACAACCGAATACTTAAAGGCTTATTAGCAAGAAAACGACATTGTATTCTAATGAGCCGACAGGATTCACTAATTCTACGGCAATGACGTTACAGAGGATTTCTCTCTGCCTGATCTCTCCCTGAATTTCTGGACCATAAACAGCGCGAGTAACATCCTCATTTCCTTACTACACACCGCCAGGTCCTTGCAAAAGTTTTAAGATTAATGTAGAGGGTAATTAATCCAGTTGCGACCATTTTTTTAAAGAGAACGGATCCCACACACAGAAAAAAGGTGGAAAATACATGAATCATTGGGCTGATTAAAATGCATGAAGCTGCTAAAGCTTGTCAGATGGGGGACAACTGAACTCATTCATCAAGTCCAACCCACGATTATATCAACACGATCAGCTAAAGAAAGCATTCAAAACTTATCACCAGATCAATGGACACATAACTCGACAAACTTTTCCTAAACAAGCGACGACCTACATTTTTAGACGACGAGGACTCTTTTTCTCCTTCCTTTCTTTTTTTCCTTTTAAGATCTAGCAGTCAGAACAAATCCTCAAAGATGAAATCCGAGCTCAGCTAAGAAGATGAAGCTGCACTTTCAGGGTCTTTTTTAAACTATATAGTAATCAGCGGAGATAATGATCTGAAAAGATTATGCCCCAAAGCAAAGTATTTTCAAAAGGTGCAATAGCTTCCTCGCTACACAATCCGATCGTAAGGCTCGCAACCGAACTTCTCAAGTGTCGTTTTCCCCTGTATCTGTGCGATTGCCCGAGGACCCCCGGCCACCCGCGCCCTCAGCCGCGCCGCGGCCGCCAGCGCGCAGCTCCTACGCGCATCTCTGCGCTCCCCCAAAGGCTGCGATGCTTATTTCAAACAAATACGCGGCTCAGCGCGTCGCTTGAATTTACTGCTTTGACTTGTTAAATCTCCCTAATGGCTCAAGTCCAATGTCAATAAACACAGATCTGAAATAGAACAGCAAGAGACAACAGCGCGGAGGGAAGGGGCGAAGGGGGGGGCGAGCTCTCGGGGATTTCTTTATTGTTTATTTTATTTGCCAGAGAGACATTATAAGCCAGGCGTACTTGATGCAAAGAGACCGTTCATTCTAGGCAAAAGCTCTTTTCTTCCGGAGGATGAGCTTGCGCCCGGCTGTGCAAGGTAAGCCCGCGAAGCCAGCCGTGCTTGGCGACTCGGGTTTTTGCTTCATGTCAGTGCATGGTATGTGAATCCTTTCTCGTCGGGATATTTCTTTTCTTTTTTTTTTTTGGTTTTGTTTTGTTTTCTTTCCCCTCGACGTGTGACAAGACACCACCCCACCAGACTGAATCCTCTATTGAAGAAAGCCGGCTCTTTCTCACCCAGAGTATTTATTTTCTCTCGGACCGCGCCTTGCGGGGAAGGGCGCTCTGTGCCAGGTAGGGAGAAAAGAACTCCCCGGCGACCCCTGAGAGGGAGTTTTATGAGCCAGCCTTTCTTCAAAAGTGGTCCTTGGGAAAGGGAGACAAAACTTAGCAGCTTCATCAACTTCAGTGCCGAATTATCGCGGAATCTTAATATAAATGTCACTTTGTGGGCTGTTTTGTTTTGTTTTGTTTTGTTTTTATTAACAAAAAGAAACCGAGGCTGTGAAGCCTTGGAGGGGCTGTATTTGTTTCTTTTAAACTAACAACAAATTATCTAATTAATATGTTTCAATTACAGCATGAAAAAGAGAGGCTTTGGACCGCCTGCAGTGGGTTTACAATAGCCCCAGAGCCCACTATAAGAATTTACAATAACTTCACATCTGTTTCTTTATTTCCCACTTTTCGAGTCTAAAACTCCTCTCGAAATCACTTCAAACCGTGGCCCAAGTTATGAAATATGGTCTCTCTGCCAGGAAAAAAAAAAAGGTGGAAAGAAAAAAAGGACAAAACTTTGCAGATCGAGGCTTCATTTGCAAGCTAGAAAGTGAAAGCCCCATTGAAGAGCATTAAACAAATATATTAGAATTCTGTCACTTTATGCAATTGAGTAGATCAAATAAAGGGTCCCAGGCCACTTCATTCACTCTCATTCACTTGAATAGAAAATGCAAAGAATAGCAAACCTAGACTGGGCCACCGATGTAGATTTAGCCCTTTTTTTCTAAGAGACAAAAAGGCTGAATTTTCACAAACACATTGCTGACTCGGGGACTAGGAAACCAGCACTGAAACCCCTTTGGAATTTAAATTCATTTTATCTTCCTCTCTCTTTCTGGGTCCGTTTGCGCTACAGGGCGAGTTGCACTGGCACCCTTGCTTGGAAAAAATACAATGCAATACAATACAATACAACAAAAAATAAAAGCTCCAGATTTATCAAGGCGAGCCACAGTACAGTTTGGAAGGTCCCGTTTTTATTTACAAAGAGAAAATGAGGAATCACCCGCCCTTTGCCCAAGCCGCCGTGAGAATCGCAGCCCTTTCACGGGAC